TTAAAAAAAATAAATAAAAAGAAAGCAAACTGTTCTTTGTCTTCTCTAATAGGAGTGATCGACACCGGAATTGCCCTATTTGTCGCCTACAAATGAGTGGAGCAAATGAATCTTGGGTGGTATCAGATGCACCCACTGAAGATGATATGGCTAACTATATTCTTAACATGGTTGATGAGGCAGGCCAACCCCACAGACCATGACCTTGGGGTAAAGGTCTTTTGCTATTGAGGGCTACAAATACTTTGGTCATAGGGTAGAATACAGGGGCCATTAGGCACAGAGACAGAAATCAGTTTATCCCCCCCCCCCTTATTTTCACTATGCTGACATTTTGTCCTATTTCTTTTGATAAAATTTTCATGTCTTCCATTTATGGTAAACTAAATTTTGCTACTGGTTAAATTTTCCTATTATTTATCTGTTCTGATATATATATTAGAACTAATTGCTCTTGAATCCTTTGCTGAGGTAACAGCAACATTCCAGCGGCTTCTGAAACAGTGTTTTTCAGAGCAAGAGTATTTTGAAATTTTTTTAGTTATAAAGTAAACCTTGAATGTGAAAAGCTGTAACCATTTGAGAAATGTTAAATGACTGAAAATGCAGAGTACATCAAAGTGCATGTTACTACTTGTCTTTCTGCTGGAATCTAAGGAGTATGTATGCCCCCTTGTGGTTAATTATCGCTCCTTTAATAATTTTTTTACTTGAAATGATCCAGTTATTTCTTAACTAGCGGTGTGTTTTGGAACTACATACTTTTTACTTAAGAGCCTTTTCCCCTGTGCTGTATAATTTGGGTGAAGACCAAAAGGTTGGGCATGGCTGGTTGTAAAGGGATCCCTGCTGGGAATATTCTTGGCTATACTAGAAGTGCTTTCCCTCAGCCAGGAAACTTCTAAATCACTTTTGATAATTCTTGTGCATGTTGGATTTTTCAGAAGGAAATATTTCTTCATCACAGATCCTAAATTTTATATGTCCAAATTATGAAGTCATTCGATATTGGTTTATGGTGCTTTTGTTTTCTTAACTTGAAGGAATCTTTCTGAGATCTCAAGAGTCTTCAAATTTCTTAGACCAAGAGAAGAGAAAATAGAGTATAGCTTTTTAACCATGTATATACATAAAACATCTCTCTGAAAATTAGGAGATAATTTGGCTTTCTTACTTTTTCAATGTGCTTCCTTTGAAATGCTCCGAATGAGTATAGTCATGATGGAATTATGATATTAGTAGCACTTCAACCATTGTTTTAAATTTTGCTTATAAAGTAAAATTCTTATGTTAAAATTTCAACATATAATAAAACTTGGACCTGATGTCTCCTTTAAAAAGTACATTATAGGTCCATATAACGTTCCTGACTTACTCTTGGTACATTGCAAATATTAATTCTTTCCTAAGTACCAATGTATATTATTTAAATTGCTGCTTGTTGATGGCAGAATTTTAGAATACTAGCATTTTAAAATAATACAGACATGCAAATAAAATAATGATATGATGTCTAACCAAAGGTAGCTCGATTTCACCCCGAGATTATTGATAACTAATTGGTTGACATTCATGATGGGGCAGCTGAGTACTAAACACAGGATAGTTACACAAGCAGCGTTCCAAAGACTTTCATAGTAGCCTAGCAATGTACTGCATTATTGTTTGACCTTGAAAAGTTCCCTTCTCTCTAGTTTATAGGTTCCTACTTTAGAAACTGAGACTTTAGTCTGTGGTTTTCACTTTATTTTAGCAGTAGAATTCTGAGAATTACTCAGAAGCCCTACATACATATGCATACACTTACACTCCCTAAGCCACTGTATAAAAGTCAAATTAATTTCCTTATATAATTTTTATATAAAACAAGTATTATCAAGTTAACCAATCAAAACATGCACTAATGTATTGGTGATATCCAGTATATTAAAATTTGGTGGGAACACAGTTAAAATGAGTTGTTTTTAAATGAACTTTCTTTTTTTTATTAAATTCAAGTCATCTTTATAGAACTGTTTCCTTCTTGGATTCTTAGTGTTCCTTGGGACATATTTTTGAAAATCTTACAATTGATGATCCTTCTGAAATTTTACCAGCTTTATGATTTTAAATTGTCCTTCTAGATTAGACTTTCTGAGTCTAATTCAGATTGCCTAATTGAAGACATTTCTGAAAATGAACAAAATTGATTTACAAATTATTGGATCTTTGCAGATATAGCCAATGATTTTATCCCCTAGAATCTTTCACCTTTCAAGGAATTATTTAACATTAAGCCCAGTACCTTGATACCACCCATACTTTATTTTCTGGTATGAGTTCCAAGACACTAAATGATCTACTGTGAAAAAGAAGATATTTTCATTAGCTTTAGCTAATAAATAAGCACAGTTTTTGCTTATTCCATTAAGCTGGGTGATAGTTCTTTAGATGTGAATGTTAGGAAGGTTCCATTGTAATAACTAATTATAAAAGTTGTATATTTGTTTAATGGGTGAAATATACTTTTTATATCTGTACAGCTTGTCTTTTTTAAATATGAAGTATTAAATGCAATTACTATGTTAGGAGATATAATGTGTGCCTTCTAGGATTTGTGAAATGGTTTCATGAACTCTAAGAAATTTGTTTCTAAGCTATCAAGTTTTCCTTATCCTCACTCAGTAACAAAGAATTTACTCATTTTAATGCTATAGAATTTTAGTTTAGAGAAAAGGACATATCTATGTACTGAATTTAGGAGTTGAGAGTAATGGCATCTGTTTACTATTAGGACAAACTGATAAATTGTGCAATAAATAATCTTTAGCAAGTAAATTTTAGCTAACAGATTTTTTTCTTCTGTAGTTTCACATTCTTATAACTAAATGTTTATATTTCTTAGAGGACTGTTTTAAATTGTGCTGTGGGGGTTGTGATGTTTTTGTGCTATGTTTTAAAATTCATTTCAAATTGGACTCAATTTCCTAATATCTAATAATATCTAAATAAGGCTGCTTAAAGATAGCAGTAACCTTTAACACTGGTAAGTTGGATTCATTTAAAGGCAGTCAAAAAATTTGCATGTTTAACTGTTTTTTTCTTAGTTAAGTCAAACTTTGTCTAACGGATCAAGAAAACTAGTTGGAGATTAGGGAAATCAGCTGATCAGCTTCACTTTTGATGGGCAATACAATGACAATATAATATAAATAGTAATTAATATTCCTGTCTTTATTACTCATACAGGATAATTTTGTAAAATCATTTCCAAGATAAAATAATTTAATTACAGAAGCATCTTAGAATCTTAGTTCTGAGAATAAGAAAGTCATTTCTAAGAAGATGTCTAGGGTACAGGCCAGAGGCTTAGGGGCAGTGAGAGGATTCACCAAAGACAGAGTGGGGAGCAGAACAGTCAGAACTGATGAAAAAACTGCTGAGGGGAGCAGCAGACAGATCAGGAGAGGTCAGCCATGCCTTGTGGATCACCTCCAAGGTGGGGATCGAACTTGGGTTGAAGTGGCTTTACCTTCTTAGTGCTGTGCTTTTACCCTCTGTGTCACCAGGGAGGGCCCAGGAGTGCTGTTTTTAATTAAATGTACTGATATATATTATCATGAAGAAGTATACATTTTGTTATTAGAAGATTTTGTCTTTTGACAAAAAAAATACCTCCTCAGAGAGATATTTTTATAATCTTGGAGCTATTTATAGTTTGACTTTCTGGTAGCCTCTATCTTTCCAATACAATATTTAGAGGTTGAGGATGTAAAATTTTCCAATGAAGTGTGTTTGATTAGTGTTCTTCTATTGCAATTGTTACGTTTGTTCTTTATAACAGTTCAAGTATAGACTACTTAAGCATATTAATGTCACTGTTATCTTCAGTGCATCTCAAACCCAGAGGAAGATGGATGTTGTTTTACCAGTGCAGCACTCAGGTCAGAGGGAAAGCCAGAGGTGTGTACTTTCAACTCTGCTTTAATCCAAAATAAGAGGAAGTAATGGGCTGGGAAAGGCCTTGCAAGTAAACACCATCCCAGAGACTGTTATTTGTTTACACATGACAAAGAGCAATGACATTAATCATTTCAATGATGCAGATTGAATTAAATTATAACATGAACTTGATCCTTTTAGACTAAGAGAGAACTATGCCTCAAAACCTATTCTTTGAGAAATGTGGGCCAGTATACTGTTGCCCTTGATTCCAACTGCAGACCCAAAAGAAAGTAAGGATTCATCCTCTAAAAAAGGTAATTATGTCATTAAAATACAAAGTGCTATAGAAGAAGGTGCTGAAAAGTTGTAGGACATGTGAAAATTCAGCAAGTAATTGGCTGAACTGACTAAAATGATATCTAAGGGAAAGGAAATGAACATGTGTGGCTTTGCTTACAAATTGCAATAGGACAGAAGTTAGAGAAAATGATAGCAAAAGTTTACCTTCTGAATCTGGTGAGCATAAGTTTGAAAATTTTGAGTTTTTCTAGTGAATGTGATACATATCTGAGTCTTAGTAAAACTTAAACTAGTAGTTATTATCGTTAACTTCCCATGACACTCATTCTTAAAATAAAAAACTTAAATATTTGCTTTACACAGTATTAATTGGGCCCTCCTGAGTAACACAAGGGGTTAAGAGCCAGCACTATGAAGTTCTCCACAGCCACTAAAGCATGAGTTCGATCCTTGGCCAAGGAGGTGACCCACATGGCCCAGCAGACCTTTCTTGTCTTCCCACTGTTCCCCTCACCAGTGTATTTCAATCAGTCTGCCTGTTCTGCTCCCCACTCTGCCTCTGGTGAATTCTCTCACCCCCTACACCTCTGGCCTCTACCTCAAATCTTACATGCATAAGTAAATGCATCTTTTAAATAAATAAATAGTATTAAAGTAGTTTTAAATCATTGAGCCACAGTCCTAACAAACTTTATTTAATAATTAAAAACAAATACTTGATACAGATAAAGTGACAATGAAAAACTGTACAATACTTGATTATGTTAGGGCAAATGCATACAAATGGTGGCTTTCCAAAAATAATAAATGCCTAAGATAAATGCTGAATTTTTATTCAGTTTTATGATTAACTGTAAGATAACATGTTTACTTAGTAAAAAGACTTCATATCTAATTCCTTATGCTAAGAAACAGTGATGTACAAGCATCATAAAGTCACAAGACAATCTAATAAGCATTTTCACAAGCAAAAATAGGGTTCTTTTAACTTGACAATGATTCAGAAAGACTTCCCATAATCTGAGTTTGCCCCAAGAAATAGGAAGATCCTTGGACAACTTGTTGAGTACTAAGAACACATAGCCTTAAAAATTCTGAAAGAAAAACTCATTTAGTTATTCTATATACATTTACTGAGCACCTACTAGGTAACAGGTATTAACACAGATAAAGTATACATCAGTAAAACTTAAAATTCAAACTGATCTTTAAAAATCCTTTCTACCTGATAAGTTATATGTTCTGAGGAACTCTGCATATTAGATAAAGAAGAAATTTCACCTTTAAAAAAATGCACCAGGTTACAATGATTGGGGAACAACAACAGCAACAACATTTGTGAGGCCTATCAGATAACTGGGTTAGGGGAGGAAAACCTAGTGCTATTATTAATTGGCTGTGTGACCTTAAGCAGATTTCACTTCTCTGACCCTAATTCTTCATAAGTAAAATGATAACTGGGTTATAATCATACAGTAATAGAGTTAAAGGAACACAGGTCACATAGTCTTATGCTTAATTTAAGAGAAAACATGTAGAAGTCCCAATGTAAAACTGAGGAAAGCAAAGTCCCTTTGAAGAAGTAAAGGCAGCACCCAGAATCTCACCCCCCTCCTTTCCTCATCCTGAAGTGATCTGGGAGGGAGATGCACAGAACACTCTTTGTAAAACACCCACCTTATCCAAAACCCTCCACTTTTGAGATTAGGAAATCAAGCTTCAGAATAGGAGTGCCTGTTTAATGTGCACATTTGGTTTCCTAACTAGGAGGGAGGAGAGCTAAATAAAAGTTTAAGAAATTCATAAACATAAGTTGTCAAGAAGGAAGTTTTCTATTTTAATTCTCTCAAAGTAGCTCCTTTGAGAAAGGAAGCTCTGAAATTTATTTTTGTTTAAGGCAGCCACCCAGTCAGAGGCTGAAATGAACAACTAGCATTCAGCCTGCAGGGCCTATAGAGATGGCAAAACCACACAAAGCTCATGTCAGTGGGCACTGGACCGTGGCAAATCTGACCCCAACAACACAAGCACTAGTGGTATCAAGAGAAATATTTGGAAAATTCAATAAGTACAGACAAGTGCCTAGCTCCTGCATCCCCAAGGAGTAGTCAACATCTATTATTCAGAAATATTAACCAAAGGGAATATATTCAATCTTAAAGTGAACAGTGCAACCAAAATCACTAGTTTGAAAGTTCTTCAGAGGCATCATCCCCATGAAGGAAAGTCCTAGTTTGATATCATCTTGACCACTGTTAATCACAGCAGACTTGAAATCAAAAAGGAAGAGTGCACTTCCAGTGTGCTGGACCTATCCATTCAGGTCTGTGATCTCCTCGGATTTCATGGCATCAGACAGGAAGCTCAGCTCATTGCACAAGGTCTCATACCGGAATGCCATCCGGATCTGAGCAACATTTGTCTTACGAATATCATTTCCTTCAGGTCCTTCTTTATAGTAATTTTGTCCAAGAAATTTTTGCTTTTCCTACGGATCAAGAGAAATACAAATGAAACAAGTTATCTTGGATTCACATTCTGTATCCACATGGCAGCTCTAACACTAGCCACAGCAAATCAGATTAATATCACTGAAGCAGGTCCTCCATCAGGATATCCTTCCCTATGGGGCTGTGATAAAATCCTCTCCCCGACATCCCTCTCCTCAAGAATGTTGCCCTGACAACCACATTCGTGCCCTTCATTTCTGACTATACTTTTCTTCATCAGAAGGGAAAGATAGGAACTGCAGAAGCTACACGTGATGGAGAAGGCAAAGTGAAGGCATGAAGACTAAGGAGACTCCTGAGAACTGACAAAGGCAGAAAGTCATGTCTGGGAGACAACAGAGAATCAGTCAAAAGAATCCAGTCTACACAAATTGAATCTTCCATCTTTAAGTTTTCTCTGCATTGGCATCTATCTTCCTACATAGTAACATCACCAGAGGAGATACCCAGGGCACCATCCAGAACAATGGTTCTCAACCCTGGCTCCCCATCAGAATTACCTAAGAATCTGTGGGGGAAAAAAAGTGTTGGTGTTTAGATCCCAACTTTTTAATCAGTCTAGATACCATTCTTACCTACTCAAGAAACAGTGAGTGCCTACTACATGCCAGGGATTATTCTAGACCTAGTTTAATCAGAACAAAATAACTGAAACTGCAGTCTAGAAGGAAAGACAGGAAAAAACATACTACATGTTACAAGGTCAATAGTAACATATGGCAAAGGGATGGAGAACAATGGCAAGTATGTGACTTGTTTAGAATGGGTGATCTGAGAAGGCCTCTCTGAGGAGGTAACATTATTGAGTAGAGTTTGAAAAAGGTCACAGAGCAGCCACGAAAATCAGGAGTCTTCCAGGAGTTCCCTTAATACATGAGTGTCGTGAGAGACCCTACTTGTTCTATTCACCACTGATCCCAATGCCTAGGAGGTAGCTGGCACAGCAGGTATTTGTTGTACACAAATGGACAGGAGGGACAGAAGGCAACACATCACCATGGTACCTGATGGGAGAGGCCGCTCTGCAGCACGCTGTTCCTGGCGATTTCACACAGGTCACAGGTACTCAGCTTCCACACTTGAGCTGCAATTGCATATTCTTCCATAAGTGCTTCCTAAATTCCCACAAAAGTAAATGTGTTAGGTGGCACCTGGATGATCAACACTAAAGGCTGGCCCTTGTGTGTATAACTCTGCCTTTCCTTTCCTCATCTCTCCCTCCAGCAAGCCAAAGTATAACAACAATAGTGATAATAGTATTAATAAAAATGGCAGCTAACATTTGAACACATGCTAAATGCAGCCACTGTGTTAGACTCACTATCATAATGAATTTTACAATAAGGGATTGGTGAGCAGAGACAATTTAATTCCCGTTAAACAGATAACTTTACCAGGATCACAGAGGTGATGTTAAAGGAAGGGAAACTTGAGAAAAGCAAAGAGATGACAGTATGCCCTTGAGGATTTTCAGAGGGAGGGCCCCTGAAGGAAGACACTTCCTTACCAGGATCTTTCCTTTTTTCACTGGACCACAGCCCCACCTTGAAGGTAGAACCGAGTTATGTGCTCAGTTCCCTGCAGTGGGGAGACAGCCCTGCCGGAGGCATCTAAAGGCATCACCTCCTAAAGTCCTCACCTTTGTGTAATGGAACTGCATGGGGTCATCGGTGGAGAGAGAAACATGCAGTCCCTTGTGAAGGAATTCCCTCAGAGGGTTTTTGGAATATTCCAGGAACAGACTGTTGTTGCTAAGAGGAGACATGGCGATGGGGATCTGAGCAAGATAGTAGAGATACTGCAACACTGGACTCTGCAAAAGAATCAACAAACTCATGTGACAAGTGCCACAGAAGAGAGGTTGGGAAGAGGGCAGAGAAGATGGGAGGGAAGAAGCACTTGGCAGTGCAAACCAGGGGTCTGAGCAGTATCTGCTCACATCCCAACCAAGTCTAGGCTCCCCAAAGCCAGGACACCACCACCACCTCCCTTGCACCTCTGTAATTCTCTCTCATCTTAATTCTTACATCAATCACATCCTTCCCTGGGTCTGCCCTCCCACCTGCTGTCAGAAGTGCTCCCTCTCAGGGGCCTCCTTGGTGGCACGAAGGGTTAAACCACAGCACTGTGAGGCTTTCCACAGCCACTGCAGCACAAGTTCAACCAGTGGCCAGGGAGCTAACCCACATGGTGCAACAGACCTCTCCTGTCCTGCTCATTGCTCCCCTCAACAGTGAATTTCAGTAGATCTGCCTGTTCTGCTCCCCATTTTTTCCTGTGAGTCCTCTCATCTCCTACCCCTCTGGCCTGCACCCCAGTCTTTGTATGCATAAATGTATCTTTTTTTAAAAAAGATTTTTATTGATTTATTCATACAGAACTGGGGTACAGGCAGGAGATGCAGAGGCTAAGAGGATTCACCAGAGATAGAGTGGGGTGCAGAACAGGCAGATCGACGAAGTATACTGCTGAGGGGAGCAGCAGGCGGGTCAGGAGAGGTCTGCCTCGCCATGTGGATCTCCTCCCGGGCAGGCTGGGATCGAACTCATGTGGAAGTGGCTTAAGCTTCTTAGTGCAGTGCTTTAACCCCCTGCACCAACAGGGAGGGCCATAAATGTATCTTTTTATAAAAAAAAAAAAAGTGTTCTTTCTTGGCTCCAGAGGATACAGCTAGGGGCAGGAAGGTGCTGGAAGAAACAACCTGCATTCACTCCCCTCCCCAGCACTGACCCCAGTGGAGTAGGCTAGGAGATGCCCCGCTTTTGTTGTGTTCTTGCTTTAACTGCAAACATTCAGGTTGAAACTGTAAATACTCCAGCTCCTCGGAGATGGGAAGGGGCAGACCTAACCCAACTAGAGCGGTTTTCTAATGTAGCATCACCCCACACAGAAGGGTGGTGTGGTCAGGCCTCCCCAAGGCCAGGGCAGGGGGTATGTCTGAGCAAACATCACTTCTATGGATATGTCTGAGCTATGCACAAAGTCATGTTTGCTTTCTTTTTTTTTTTCACAAATGAAAAATTAAATGGACTTTGTATAACAACTGGAGACTGGCTGAATCAAGTACAGATCATCCAAGTTGTGAACTATCTGACCAACAGTTAAATGCTTGTTAAACAATGTTAAGGGACAAAGCTGGAACCAAAATTCTATGTTCATTATGATACTATGTTCTAGAAATAAAAAATATGGAAATTAGCAATACCAGAAAACTAATGACTCTACTATAATAATAAAAAAGCGGGGTTTTTTTTTTTCATTTCTCCATTTAGTTCAAATTGTGGTGCTGATTATACTATTTTCATAATTAAGTATGAAACCAAAATGATTATAGACAGCCCAGCCCAGAAATAGGTTCCAGCCTTTTGCATCTCTGGCTGGAGACTCCCAAGGGTAGATCAAGGTCCAGATGACCCCACTCTCTCCGCCCCCCAGGGGAGCCCCAGCCAGGACTGTTACTAGAAGTAGGTTTCCTGGAGTGGCTTGGTTACCTTCTTGAGGAGTAGCCCGTGGGAAATATTGTCAGCAGTCAGGAAAGCAGACACCAGGTGAGTGATAGAGCCGGCCTCTCCGCAGTGAGGACGGAACAGGAAGGTGCTCATGCCTCGTTCTCTGTAGGAAAAGTAAAGTTCTTTATCAAGGACCTGTGGCTAACCCTGCTGGGGCCCCACAGGCCTGGAACTGCATCTTTGCTCAGGGCCTACTCCAGGGGACAGTCACCATGGCAGGGTCAGCAGAGCTGACGTAGGACAGACACTCCGGAAACTGCCTTTCCCAAAATGCAGAAGCCCAGACCCAAAGTTCCTCAGAACCAAGAGACACCATATGCTGGGAACACAGTGGATGCCAGTGGTAGAAAGTGTCTGTTCTGCCCTCCACCTTCCTCTTTTTTCCCTCCTCATCTTAGATCCAAGATGCATAGCCCTTGAGGGCAGTAAACGCCATGATAAATCACAGTCCACTTTTTGTTAGTAAAATGGGCCATCCCAGAGACCCAGTTGTTCCAAGCCACTGAGCAGGTCGGTGGAAGGAGATCACTAGAGCCCCATCTCCCCAGCTCAGCTTGGGACAGCTGGCTCCTCCACCCATCGCCAGGCCTTCTGTCCATCATGAGCTCGTTCAAAACCTCCCCTCCTCCAGCTAGCACTGCCATGGGCTGAGCTGTGAGGATCCATGTGAGAGAGAGAGAAAGAGCACGCTGGGGCCTGGGCCTGTAGGACCACTGGATGTGAGCTCTCTCAGGGCATGGATTACTGTTTTCTTCCCATCATGTTTAGTGCCCAGGACAGTATCTCTCACCTAAAGGACGCAACGATTTGTTCCATGAATAACAGCACATGTGAACACAGTCGGTGGGTGGTAAGTGAACAGGAGTATGTGCTGCCCTGTGATACATGTAACAGGTGTGGACAGGTAACACACATAGGTGTGGATGAGTGTGTGAACACATGTATGTACAGACATGAGAGGTGTGTTGTGTGCATTATCTCATCTGTATCTGGGCATGTGTCCAGGCTCATCCCTGTGGATACATGTACTGGGTACACCCCTGGCTCCAGGTGAACACACGCACACGTAGGTGAGGCCAGGCTCACACACCTGCGGAGGTTGTTGAGCACCATGATGTTGGCATACATGTAGTACAGGTAGTAGCTGTAGGGCGGGTTCTGCTCACTGGTCCAGATGTCTGGGTTGGGGCTCTTGTCTGAGAACATGTGGTCGCTGTGCTTGGACTCATCATCCACGCTGTCGAATCCTGTCACCTGGGGAGGAAGAGGGGTCCTGCATCAAGCCAAGGCCAATGAAGGGCCTTGAGTTCAGGCCCCTCAGATTCACATGTCAACCGGGGACCCCACAGCCTGCTGGCCATACCCAACACCCATTCCATTGCTGCACCAAGGAGGAAGCCAGCACTGCAGGGTAGCAGCAGTCGCCCACCCCTCCCCCCACCCTGTCCAGTCAGTCTCTCCCCTGCTGCTGTCATCAGCAGCAGTGACGATGAGGGGAGCAGAGGTACTCACTTCCCATGTACCTGCCACACCTCAGGCCCTATTTGAGGCACTTGCCACACATAAGCTAATTAAATAGTCAGAGGCACTGTGAGGAAGGACTTTGTTGTAAGAGCACTGTGGTCAAAGCAGTCAAGGCACTAATCCAGTGAGAACCAGGCTCTGGACCTGCACCAGCTCAGGGTCTGGACTCTGGGACTAGAGGTGGAGGATGCCCTAGAGCAACCCCAAGTGTGCCTTCAAGAAGCCAGCTGGGATGCCTTATGAACAGGCTAAAGGTGGGCCCATCCAAGAGGGCGTCTTTTAAGGCTGAGTTCAACTCCCAGAACAGAGGGTCAAGGGATCCTTGGCAGACTCTGCTCCTTCTAGTGGGGTCCAGTGAAGCCCTAGAGGCCTCACCCTAGTCATAGGCCTCCTAGGCTCCTGGTCACAGAGGTGAGGCCATGACCAAGAATGTACCTGTGGAAGACAGAACCCTCAGCCAGTACATAGAGTCAGTTTTGCTAACACGTCTCTTTCTCTTCCTCTTCCTCAGTTACCGTAGTGTTTGGGAATGAGGCTTCTCAGAGATGGTCCGCCTCGCTTACCAACAGATCCAAACCAGGCCACAGCCAGCTCTACCCTAGATGGGCAATAGGGTCCCAGAAGAGCAAGGAAGGTACCATAAGGGTCTTGGCCAAAATCTCCCGTGTCACAGAGTCATGGGCTCAAGACAAGGACAGGGTCACCACGATAGCTCTAAGTATGGTCTGGACAGGTCTCGGGGACCATTTCACTAGCTTCCTACTTCAGCTGAACTCCTGAGGCTTGGTACAGGTTCCTCTCCTATGCTCTGTATCCAGCTGACTCAGGGCCTCGCCACTGGGTCTCCCTCTCCTCTTCCTGCACTTCCCATGTTCGCTGCCACAGCCGCAGTGACCTGAAAGGTGCACCATCTGCTCGCACTAGGGCAGCAGCCGGGCCCTTCTGTGCACCTTCGGGTTTTGCCCAGATGCCGTGAATTCCAAACACCTTCAGGTTTTGCCCAGAATCCTTTGCCTGCCTCACTGTTTTTTTTTTTTTTGGAGGAAGCACAGTTTGGGGATAAGATACCTCCAGAGTCAAGCTGCCAGATAAGACATCCACTGTACCACTCCTTAGCTTTGTGATCTCTCAGTTTTATTCTCTTAGTGTATAAACTGGAGTTAGAAGCTTATAGGGCTGTGTGAGGATTAAGGGCGGTAATCCGAGGAGAGCACTTCACACAGCATCTACCATACAGCAAGCGTACGATGACAAATCTGTTCAAGATACAGTCACTGGGAGGCAGAAACCAGATGGTGCTGTGGAGTCAGTCACTGACTGGCAGCAAATGTGCAGTAAACGTGCGCTGTGGCTGGAACAGACCTCCTGACTCTCACTTGTGTCCTTTCCCCAGCCGCCTCTACCTTCTGTTCCAGGCCATTCTCCACACACCAGACACAATGATATTCACCAAAAACAAATGCATGATGTCCTGCAGCCAGTTCAAGGCTTTTCCTGGCAACTCCCCACACTCAACCCCACCAGCCCTCCCCCGGTCCTCTGGAATCTTGGGTTCCTTCCTCCTGTCAACAATACCCAGAACCTCCACCAGGTACTGAATTTGCTCCTCACTCTCTGCAGCCACCTCCACTCCAGGCATGTGCAGGGAGGTGCCCTGCCCAGTTAATGCCTTTTCTAGTTCAGTCTCTCCATCCCTTCGCTTCTTCTCCCATAACTTTAGCTCCAGTTTATACACAGATTTGGAGGGTAAATATATTCTTTTTGGCACTTGTGCCCTTAACCAAGAAAGATGTGAGGAGCACTGTTCCAGGTAAAGTGGGGCAGCTGCCTGGGGCCAGTGCAGTCACCCAGCCCCATCTTGCAGGTAGTAACCCCGCAGTATTGTCTTCCACTGCTTCCCAGCAGGGGGTGCAGGCTACTCCAGAGCAGGGCACTTGCCTTGGCCAAAGCTCTTTTAGAAATTCAACTTCTTGGGGCTAGCAGCCCCCCTTGAGGTACATTGATCTGATCCAACCCAGTGGACCCCTCAGTTCCCCTCACCACCATGGTAGTTCCACCCACACTCACATATTTGAGGAAAAGGTGAAGCTCTCGGTGATCCTGGGGGTTGATTGTGGCCTCAAAGAGGGGCAGGAAGATGTTCTCCAGCATCTTCCCAAAGTTTGGCAGCAGCTTCTTTGACCTAAATATGTCACTGGGGGGAAAGCAAAAACTCACTGATAAAGGTGGACCCAGCAGTGCAGTCCTCTTGGCCTGTGGGAGGAGTGGGCCTCAGTCACCTCCTCAGGCAATCCACGCCCCTAATTAAACAGCCAGAGAAGGCTCAGAGAAGTGGTCTGAGCACAGATTCACCCCTTCCTCTTCAATGTTCAGCAAGTGCTGTACCACTGGGCACACTCAGAACCAACCCATGTCCCTCGGAGTGAGAGCCAGAGACCATGCTAGAAGTGGGGTGGTGGCGTCCAGGCTGACTAGGACTCATCAGCTAAGAGATAAGACCTCAAATTTCCCAGGGGCCCAAATTCTCTGCCACATAGGTTAGTTTCTCTAAAGCACAGGTCCCAACCCATCCAGAGGCTGTGGCCCCCACACTGGCCAGACACCTGAAGAGGACACGGGTGGTCTGAGCCAAAGCCAAGAACCAGCAATGTAGGCCACCCCCGGCTCACCCATACCCTGGGTTCACAGAAAGGGACGTCCTAAAGCCCAGTGAGAAGACAGGCAGTAGTTCCTACCAGGCCTCTGCACGTGTACTTTAAGGAACAAGAAGTGTCACAAGGACGTTTTTTGTCCTCTGCGGGGAAGCCCCTGGGAAGGAGAGACCTACGCTGGCACCACAACTGACCGCACCCCTCAAGAGAGACTCCGCAGACCTGGCGGGACAGGCCGGCCTTCCCAAAGGGTACAAGCAGACAGAGGTGCTGCCTTACTTACTAGATCCGGGGCACCTGGATGATCCAGCGCATGTTGGGTGAGTACACCTTGTGGTGGATGAACCAGCGGGCCAGGTTGGGCCACTCGTTGGGACTGCGGCCGTAGATGGAGAGCCGGGGCTCTGAGTACTGGTACTTGCTCTCCTCCAGCTCCCGGGCCACCTCCTGTACCAAGAAAACTTCAGGTCAACCCAATACATCCCAGCTGCCCAGAAGACCTCTATCCCCAGCTGCTGGCTCCCACAGCAACTGCGGCCGCCTGCCCCTCCCTGGGCCGGGGAGACCTGACCCCTTGCTGCCATTTAAGCAATTGTTCCAATTCAGCAAAGGCTCCTTCCTGGGGAGGAAAACTCTTGGGCCTGCAGCTGATAACTAAGTGTAAGCAGATGGCAGCAGAATTGTCTCCACATGGAGGTAAAGTGCACCCAGCCGAGACCAGGCTGCAAACAGACAGGGCAGCAGCAAGCGTGAATGCTGGGAGCATGGCTGGGGGTGGACAGCCTATCCCTTCTCTGTGGGCACAGTCAGCATGCAGAGCGAACAGCTGCTGGCTCGCGGGAGCTGTGGCCACGGCGATAGCGTGGCACTGAGCCCTTGCCTGAGCTGAAGGGTGCATTTCCAAGCGGGAGAGAGGCTCAGAGGCCATGCAGGGCCCCCACTGTCTGAACGCAGACGCTGTCAGTATCTGAGAAGGCCTGCGGGGCCGACGCGCACTTGCCTTGACCATCCGAGCAAAGTACTCCCCTCCCAGGTAGTTTTCTGTTTTCAAATACAGATCACGCAGCTCACTGGCCCCCACAGGGTTGTACTTGGAGTTGAACTTGTCAAAGCGATGGAACGTCTGCCGGCCCTGGAGAGAAGAGACCATCAGTCAGATCACCACCTTGTTCTACAGCTCCCACCTTTCCTGGGGTCCTCTGCTGAGGCCCTCGGTGGAAGGCGGGGCTTCATGAATGCGGGACTGTGCTAGCAGCGGGACTGGCTGAGTGAGCAAAGACCCAGGTAGGGCACAACCCACACTGCCCCCCCCCCCTACTTGGACTTCCTACAGCACTGTCTCCACCTCACCTCATTTAGCATTTTGGTTTGTTTGTTTATGAATTTTCTATTGCAGTAAAATATGCATAAAGTAAGTTACCATCTTAAGCATTTTAAACACAGGCCCTCACACAGGGGACACATATATTTATCCTTTTGTGTCTGGCTCTCTCACTTAGCAAAATGTTTTCAAATTTCATCCATGCTGTAGCATGTATCAGAATTCATTTCTTTTCAGCACTGAATATATCCCATCACATGTAGAGACCATATTTTGCTTATCCAATTCACTCCTCTGCTGATGGACCTGGGTTGCTTCCGCCTTTGGGTCATTGTGAATAACACTGCTCTAAGATTCCATGTACACATTTCTGCTTCAGTCCCAGCTTCCTGTTTTTTTAGGCTTTTACTAGTAGTGGAGTTGCTGGTATTCATGGCAATTCTATATTGAGTGTTATGCGGAATGTCTATATCTTCTTCCATAGCAGCTGCACCATCATTTGGAATTTTAATAAGTTGGTCCTACCAATAACACATGTGACATTCACCGTTTGACCAGCAAAGAAATCAGGTTGAAGCGAGTTGTTTAAGGGCATGCAACTCCTCAGTGGCAGGAGTGGAATTAGAACTTGAGCCTGCCTGACTCCCTCACATGGCTGCTCCCAGCTCTGTTGTCCTTGAAGGCTAAATTGCCCCCCATGGTCTCCATGTTTAGAAGAGAAAGGCAGCGTACAGCACTGCCTCTCTTCAAGCACTACCATGGCTGCTTCCCAACAGGGCTCAGTCCTCCGTCAAAGCTGCATGAGGCACTCTCTGCTGCAGGTGCTCGGCAGAGCTCACTCACCGCATGGACATCCAGCGAGTCCACAGTGAGGTCATAGGGGTCCATGTGCAGACTGTCGAACACCTGACTCAGGGTGATCTTCCGGCCCCGCTTCTCTGCCACGGTCCTGTCCGGCTCTGTCTGGTACGTGTGCTTAATGAAGCGCAGCAAGTGCTTCTGGTTCATGCAGGCAGCCGCATGGATGTGCGTGTCCACCTGCAACACAGTGCCCACCAGCCCATGAGCCAGACAGCCCCTGGAACAACAGGTAGGACACCCAGCCCTCAACGTGGAGCACAACATCAAGAGATATCTTTAAAAATAGATTGGATCACCCAGCCATTTGACTGTTCATAAATTGTCAGTGGCCTTCCTGTCTCAAGATAAAGCTCAAACTCCTAAGCATGGAATTCCAGGCTTTCATCAAGCCTTAACTCTCCCTTTGCCACCACCCCACTCTTGACTGCACGCAGCATACCGCTGGCCAAGCTGCTCGACTGCACTGTGTGGTCCCCACTGCGACCCCTGCATTTTCTCAGCCTGGAATGCCTGCCTTCCTCCTCACCAACCTCACCCACCCCAACATTTCCAAAAACCTCCTCCACTTGGAAGCCAATTCTGAAGCACAACTGATCCGTCATTGCCCTGCTGGGAAACTAGCATAGATTCTCCTTTTTCTGCTCCAGGCTTTGTCAATTTCTCTCTGCTTCCTATACTGGGAGCTCCTCAAGGACAGGAACCACAATGGCCACGTCTATGTCTCCAGTTTCTACCCAGAGCCTGGTATGATGCATGGGGTGAATAGAGGGATGAATGAAAAGATGAACAGGTGTGGTAGATTCTAAAAGTTTTGATGATTTCCACACATCCTCATAAAGCCCTGAGGACCTGCCAAATGACCCACAAAATCCCAGTGAGCTCTCTTGGAACCCCAAAGTATACCAAAAGCAAGGCCCCAAGAAGGAATGAATGAAGAGGGCACAAGCACAAGGAAGCCACCACCAGACACTTCCTTAACTAGCCACATCTCATCCTAAGCCCACGGCATCCAAACCCAAGGAGCAGCAGTTCCAGTGACCCAGGCTATGAGGTCCAAAGCCAACGATCTTAGAGTTAATCCTAAAGAATAAATACATCAGGATTTAGACACCCCCCCCCACACACACACACCTCACACTCTATGGAAAGCCAGTTCTCCTGTAGAAGACACGGGGGAGCTCAGTTAGATTCCACAACTCCTTGTGGGACTTTCATATCTTCTATACCTAACTAAGTTGCTGGACACTGAGGTGGAGAAAATATGACCCAATATGCCATTTTGTTTTCAGCTAAAGGAAATTTCCAAAATACTCAGGAAGAGCTTTCCACCTCCTCCTTTCCCCCTTACTACCTAAAAGAATTTAATAGATAATTCCATGAAATGAACTGTTACCTAATTTCCAGTGAATGAGTTACATGTGGTGGACTGGGGAAAACTGGCAAGGTCTGTTCATTCCGATTCCTTCCAAGGTCTCATTGTCTTTACATGACCCGGCAGACATTTATTTATCAAACATTTAATTTCATCTTCCTATGAATTGCTTTCCTTCCCTTTGAAGTCCCAGATCCCAACCTTCTGCTTAGTTCCATATGGCTATCTTTGAAATCTTTCACATCTATGTAAACTCCCTATAGATATATAATTAAAGTATTTTGTTTTTCCTTTTCATCTCTTTGATGTTAATTTAACCCTTTTCCAGCCAAAAAAAAAAAAGGGGGGGTAGGAAAAAATGTTTCCTCCCTAACACCACCAAACACTCCTGCTTTTCCTCTTGTTTCACCAGCCTCTTTAATTGTTCCCAAATCACCACTCACCCTCTCAATACTGGAATTTTTTCTGGAACCTCTTGTCTTGTCACTATACACTCTCTCCAAAGGCAGTATGATCCATTTGCCTTTGCCGTCAATTGCCTTCTTTCTGCCAACAACTCCCAATTTTACATCAGCAGCCAAAAGTTCCATTACTGTATAAACATGCCTATTCTTCACTTGGATAACTCAGTCAACCCAAATTTACTATATCCAAAATTGGACTCTCCACCTCTGGAGACGGACTCCAAACCAGACAGTCTCCTGGGTTTCCATGTGTCAGGAAATGGTAAACCCTTCCCTCAGCTGCTCACCCTGGAGATCTGGGAGTCATCCTCTCCCCACACTCCACACCAGTCAGCCCTCTCAGTTCTACCTCCAAACAGATCTCAAATCCATCGTGCTCTGCAACCTCAATGCCACCATATGAGTTCCAGCCTGGGTGATCTCACCCCTAAATTCAGTGACCTCCCAATTAGTCTTGTCACCATTTCTTTTTTTTTTTTTTTGCTCTGGTTCAATCCATACTACACACACAAAAGCTAGAATGAATTTTTGGAATGCAATTTGATTCTACTACTGAATAGGGTTCATTAACATTGAAATGATGACCCTACTAACATCAAGGCCGTCAACCCCACTCTCCCTTTTTAGCTGTGGTCTACTCACATGATGCTTGACAGAGCAGGTCTCGGTGCCTCCCTGCAGGAGGCCTTCCACCTAACATGGCTTGGTGCTATCAATCAGGTCAGGGAAGTGAAGGAGACCTGAGTTGGACTTTCTCAAAGGAACCGCATCTTCCCCTGGCCCACCGCTCCCCACCTTGTCAATGCTGAACCCAAAATGGACAGTCCTCAAAGGGTTCGACTCTGGGACAGAGATTCCTGTAGAGATGACAAGCCCACTAAGACTAAACTGGGCATGGCCAAGCTTCCTGCAGGCAAAGCCTATCTGCCACCCTTTCCCCATGAGCTTTTCTTCCAGCTCCCTACCATAACCTGCCTCCTTGTCTCTTCCAAGAGACCCATGTGTCCCTGTAAGAGTCAGAACCTCACACACCCCTGCAGCCACACAACCATCTCCCCAACATCAGTGCTCCAGCCACATGGTCATGCTTGTTCTTATGTCAACGCACTCCTGATAGTTCCTCCCCTCCCTCACAAGGTCCTCTCCCTCCTAGCGTTTATATATGCTGGTCCCTCTGCCCAGAATGCATAGTTCCTTACCCTACCCTCTGTCTGGCTAACTTCTACTCTTTACATCAGCTCAGTTCTGGTCTGTGCCTGAAAACTGTCCTATCATAATGTTTACACACTAATAGCAACAAGCTGGGAACATCTGGTAAACACATAGTGACTCTTGTTCAACATCAAATGCCCTATGCTCAGCACAGACCTCGTACCTTGTTATGTATAGTTAAATGGCAGAAAGTGGAAAAGCTGGAGATCAAAATCATTTACTGGCTAAGCCCAGACCTAGGGTGCTCATCCACTCCAGGGTAGGGGCAGAGGGTACACTAGATGAGACTCTTTAAATACACCTGATCCAGAAAGAAGAAAACACATAAGCTCCCGAATCCAAAGCAGATGTAGCAGTTTTTTTCTCTCCATAATGAATTCTTCTAACTTAAAAGTAATAAGGCCTCAATTCTTATGACCAATTAATGAGCCAGGCCCTTTTACCAAAGAGGGTACATTCCAGCAGATACACAATGTAAATAAAGGTTTCCATCTAGAGTGATACTGGCGCCTGCTGGGGCACTGGAAGCCCCAGAAGTCTGTCCCAAGGAAGCAACTCGCCAGTGTGGCTTTTGCACTTACAGATTGCACTCCTCAGGCGGGCCAAGGAAAGTGACCTAGGGAACTAGCCCAGGCTGGCTCAGGGTGTCCTGTGGGTTGGGAGGGGAACCGGGAGGGAAGGCTCTGAGCACTGGCCCGCTAACGCACCTTTCTCACATTATAGAAGTCTCGGTGGGGGTTACTCTTCAACTCTTTGAACTCGGACATTTCATTTAACATCTCATGAAGGCTGAACTTGGATTCCAGAAAGTTCAGTCGCCGGTGACAATATGTTTTCCTGCAGGTTGGGAAGGGGGAGAAACCACAGTTGAGGAGAAGTTGCATCAAGCTCTCCAGTCGGCAGACCTTTGGTGTCTGCAGGGAGCAGGCTTCCACCACGCAGGTGGAAGATCAGATGGTAAGGGAGGGAAGAGGAGGCTCCAGATTTCTACAGTCTCAGCAGAACTGTGTCTTCACATGCATGTGCTCAATAAAATGAGCGGAGAGTCAATACAAGGCAGTAACCTTGCAACCTCTTGCATATTCTTTGACTTTTAGCTTAACATGTTTAGGCAATTAATTTCAAATCTGTTTCCCATGAATGGAGATGGCAATGCCCGAGACGGAAGTGAGGGTTAAATTGGTTTATACGTGTGAAAGGCCTGCCTTTAAGAAAAGCATATGCTCAATAATTTGCCATCTCTCTCCTTCATCCCATTCTTCTTTCTTTTCTCCCATTTACCCTCAACCATCTTTAATTATTTGAAAGGACATTAACTTCTGCCCAGAAGATCAGCAATACAGTCAAACTATACAGAGTGACCTTCCTGCCTTGGCACAAGAAGAAGCATCCTCTGACCAAATGGCATACCCCCGAACCCAAGATTTGAAGACCCCTCAACTCTGAGATTTCAGCACAAGACAAGGATGCCTTTCATAGTGGGCAGATTAGAAACTTAGGGATGTTTGTTACTAAGGACAGAAATCTCTGTGAGGACTAATCTCCCAACCAGCCAGCAAAGGCCAGTGGGCGTAGGATGCACATTGCTTACAACAAGCGGCAGCAACAGCCACACAGAGCTACAAACATAGTTCACTGCTGGTACACCCCCACACACAAACAGCAGCACCCTCAGCATCCACTCACTCACTTTCATAAACAGTGACTGCCCACTCCGGGACAACGCCATCATCTGTCTGCCTATGAGCCCCAGACCCAAGCACGAAGCACAGGAGTCTCGGAGTCTGTAGGGAGTTTGAAGTTCCTCTCACCCAACATCTCTCTCCAGCAGTTCTTTCCTTGACAACCTCCCAGACAGGCAGCTGAGGCCCACATGCTTCTTAGAGCAGCTGGTGTCCTCTCCCTGCTGTCACTCCGAAAGCTTCCCCTCAAAGCTCCTCCCAACATTAGCTAAGGAAAGCCTCCCAGGAACCTCACTCCCCAACCCATGGCTTGGCTCTGTTCTCAGATTCGTGAGAACCATGCTGACCATCCCCTCGGGCCCATATTCCCCACTTTGAGACCAGCAGCACATCCATTCCAAGCAAAACTCAAGAGGCAGGGCCAAAGAGAAGTCCTCTGCCATAACCAGCACCCACTTTCTCCCCCAGGCTCCTAGTCCTGGCAAGGCATTCCTAGCCCAGCCACTCAAAGGCTCAGGATGCAGGCAAGCTGAATACCCTCTGCTGATTAGCGTAAGCGGTCACCAAGAAGAGCGAGGTCCAATTCAGGAAGATAACTCTCTGCCAGGTCAGCCTGAGCCAAGTCCACAAGCGTCATGGTTCCCAGGCTCCCTGTACTCTCCCTGTACTTTCACTGATCTAGGATCGTCTATATTCTGGCCACTGCTATTTCCCTGCTTCCCAGAACAGTCCCTAGAACATGACTGATACTTCAGAAACAGGGAAAACCCTGAAGCAACAGCTTTCAAGCTTCCTCTACCATTTATTGGGATGCCCCACGCCAGGTAACTCTGTCAGGCTCCCATCCTGCCTGGAGAGACAGGGACAGCCATCTTAAGGTGCACAGATAGCCACCAGCATACAGAAGTTCCACACCTATGCACAGAGAAGGGACAGGTAGTACCAACTCTAAGAATATGCCAGCAGGTGGGACTGCCTTACGTGCAGGAAAGTCAAGAGCTAAGGCTACCTGGTTGTTCTTTCCGAGTCCTTTCTATAGCACAGCACCTGTGCAAACAGGTGGATGCAGGGAAAGCTGACTTACGTGGGGCCATCAGTGATGAGAGCCAGGATGTGGCTCATGTCCACTGTGTAGGTCTCCAGATCAGGGTAGGGCAGGCTGTGGGGTTCCTGGCGCTCCAGCATTTTCTTACTGTCATACACAAAGAGGATGCCCCCCTGCATGCGGACCAAATAATCCAGGTTGGCGGGAGCATCATCCAGGCAGTAAGGGTCTTCCTGGGGCAGTGGGGGAGGGTGGAAGTCTGCAAAACAGGATTGAGTGATGGCGAAGTGCCCTTGACCTTGTGAGTTCACATGGCCTCAAAAGTCACATTCTCAGTAAGGCTCATGCTGGTCATTCTGTCTCAAGCCTAACCACCACCTGCCCCAACATCTCTTGTTCCCTCCCATGATTTATTTTGTTAAATAATTTCACTGATCTTGGATAGTATATATTCTGTTCACTGCTATCTCCCTGCTTCCCCGAACAGTCCCTGGAACATGACTGATACTTCAGTAAAATATTTTTTTGAGGTAACACTGGTTTATTGAGGATATGACTCTTGGCTATTTCCCAGCTATGAGATGTCAAGTAAACCACTGCACCTCTCTGATCCTGTCTCCTCACTTGAGGATTACACCTTCTGTCTAACGCACTGTTGTGAGGACCGCAGCAGTGGATACAGGGCAAATGTCTTGTCAACAGTAATGCAGGGCATTATCTCATTACTATCATAATGAGTATTCTTGACTCTTCATGGCCTCTGGCCAAAAGAGTAGACCTGCTATTTAGTTTCAGGGGTTTCAGCTCTGCACATCAGCCAGTCCCACAAAAGGTCCAGTTACCCAGCTGCTGCCCAGGCCAGGTAGGATGAAACCCTGGAATCCTCATCAAAGGAAGCCACCAAAGGAGGGTAAATGTCTGAGTGTCCCCCACCAGTCTTCAGAACAGATCCCTCAGCACATTCTTGAGGCATCACAGGGGCTGAACCAGTACAGAGCTGAGGTTTGCTGTCCCCACATCAGACACAACCACAGGCAGCTCAGGAGCACCCCCGAAAGCATTGGCCGGTGAGATGAGGACAGTTACAAAAACTAAGGGGGAAGCCACAGCATGCACTGCACTCATGCCCAGTGCCCCAATACTGTTTTATATAAAGTACACATGGCATAGTCATTCCTCTATATCCTTGCCTAAAGGGGGGCAGACAAAGAAGTGGGCCCAGAGGGCAGAAATACGCTCAGGTGCAGATCACAGCTCTAGTTCAAAGTCCGGAGCATCAGGAAAGCCAGAGACAAGAGATCTCTCGGCACCAAGGATGCCCTGCACTGGCACAGACCAGCAGATCTCCATCTGATCTCTTAACTCACAGCATCTACTGCTCTTTGGTCCTTCAGGACCCTCAACAGACTCCACCAGAAACCCTCCTGCCCTCTCTGATCTCTCCTCTAAACTCCACAGCATAAATGTAACTACCATGTATTGAAGACTCACTAGATGCCAGAACTGCACTAAGTAACTCACATGCGTTCTTTCATTGCATCCTCACAACAGGCCCAAGAGCGATATTATTAGCTTTCCCATTTCATAGACCGAGAGACTGAGTTTGGAGAGGTATCTTTCTCAGATCAGAATGCAGGTGGGTTTGGCCACTTCGCCTGCCTCTGGAACATGCCCTCTGCACCTATCTCACCACACCCCCACCACCAGTTGAGCATTTACTCTCTGATCGTGTTGTTTTAAATGCCTTACATGAAACGGCTTGTCTCCCTGGGGACCCCCAACACTAAGGACTACTTTTAACATTTACAGCTCAGGTCTACCCAGTGTGAAGCACACAGTGAACATGGAATCGAACTTTGGGGAAACCAGCAAACATCGGGTTAGGAGAAGCCCTGCCCTTAAAACACCATCTAGGGGAAATATATCCTGTCAATAAAAAATCTTGGCCAATTCTTGGACTCTGTCCCACTGGGAATCCCACGTATAGCCACAGCACCCTACCTGGGAGGCCTTCTTCTGGAGGTGCAGCGTCTGTATGCCGATGTCCCAGATACTGGGCCGTGGTCCTTGGGAATCGGTGGTAAGCAAGCCGTGCATACTTCTCCCGGATCATCAGGGCTTTGGCCAGACTCTTGGCAGCCTGCTCATAGTCCTCCACAGTGATCTGCATGAGAGGGTTGCAGAAAAGAGCTCATAGAGGAGGCATGACATTACTGGCCTAGCAGTTGTAAACTTGGGTTTCTAGAACATTCCAACCATTCCTTGACTAGGAGGAGAGACTCACTGTGGTTAAACTGTTTGTGAAGACACTATGGTTTAAGCTGAATAACTGATTTCTGGGAGTCTGGGGCTTGGGGTGTGCTATCTGCATGTCTAACTAGACTCAATAAAACCTTGGGTGCTGAGTGTCTAATGTGCCTCCATGGTAGACAACACTTCTCACTGCTGTCATAACTGGGTACTGAGGAAATTGTGTTCTGCTGACTCCACAGTAAGAGGACACAGGGAAGCCTATAGCTGGTCTCCTCCAGATCCCCATGAACCTTGCTGCCACCAAACACCATGCTGACTTTGCTCCACATCCTTCCACTGCAGTAAATCCTAGTCGTGAGCACAGTCATGTGCTGAGTAAAGAGTCCTAGCAAACAACTGAATGTGAGACGGTCTTGGGCCCTCTGACCTGGGAGGAGAGTTAGGGCTGTTAGGAGGTGAGTGGACATTCCGTCCTGCACACCCCAAGGTCGGCCTTACATGCTGCTGGGTAAATCACTAACCTGCTGTTGCCCTTGGTGCACAATGAGGCAGAGTCTGGGCATGAACCTGATGAGGTGAACACTGTTATTTTTAGTTGAGAAAATATGAGTCCTTCAGAGGTAAAAATAAAAACTCCTGCATGTTCTGCCTAACACTTTGCCCACCCAGGCTCATGATTCATCCGATCATCAATCCAGTTCATCTAGTCAAGCACTTATTGACATGTTCTATGCCAGACACTTTCTGTAGATTTCATTTTGGTCCTCACTATAACCCATTTTATAAATGGGGAGACTAAGGCTCAAAGAGAATAATCACTATCTAGGAAGGTTTTTGGGTTTTTTTACCTTTTTTTTTTTTTTTTTGTAGAAGAGATAGGGTGTAGGTCAGAGATGCAGGGTGTGACAGGACTCACAGAGGCAGAGTGGGGAGCAGCAGGTGAGACACACCTTAGACCTAATCCCCAGGCCACCAGGGAAGCCCCCTAGGAAGTTTCAAAGTCAAACTTCAGACTGTGACCTGATTGATTCCCAAAGTCCAAGGAATATCTGCTTTTCTGGAGTTGCCTCATGTTTGAAGATGACTGAAATAAATTCTCACCTTCCAATGGGCTCATTAATCTTAGTCCATTTGGGGAGCATGTGTGTGGCAGAAATCTGAATGTGCTTAGAAAGACAAGCAGCTAAACAACAGTCCTGACAGGGTAAGTGACACAGCAGAAGGAAGCACAAGATGCTGGTGGAGCAGAGAGCAGGGAAGGGCAAGGCCCGGGGGTTTCCTCCTTGGCTTAATTAAAATTCCCTTTTAATTCTGAAATATTTTAAACTGAGAAGCACTGGAGGAAGTGACAGACATTCATTCCAGAGCTGTCAATTTTAATATTTTTCATCATGGGCTCAGATCTATTAAAGAGTTGAATAAATAAATCATCACAGATACAGCTACATCTCTAACCTCCTTACTCCTCCACCACGCCATCCTCAGAAGTTAGCATTTATCTTTCCCATGCATGTTTTTATGCTTTTACTAAATGTACTTCTTGCTTTTTCTTAAAGAAAAGCTTCTCCTTTCCTAGCTCCAAATGTCTCCATAAGAGTGTGTTAATTCCCCCCCCCCCAAAATAAACAAATGCCTTTTGTAGCAACATGGATGGAGCTGGAAAAGATTATGCTTAGTGAGATAAGCCAGAAGAAAAAGGAAAAATAAGAAATACCAGATGGTTTCACTCATAGCAGGGGTATAATGGACCAGGCGAGATAATAATAATAATAATGAACAGCCATATACCAGAGACATTTTACAGAGGTGGAGTGGGGAATGGGATCAAAATGGGGGGGGGGGGAGAAGTGCACTGGACTATAGTGATGGCACATGGGGATTACAACTGAGATGGAAAAAGGCACAAAATGATGCAAAAATAAATTATTATATTACTAAAAAAAAAAAAATAAAGAGTGCACTAATTCCACTTTGCACCTTCCAGTGAGTGGCTTCTGACAGCAGCAGGAATAGGACAGGACAGCTTGGACAAAAATAAACCCCTGCCAGTGACAAACTCAAACTTTTGGTCTGTGGAAGTGACGGAGTCAAGGGGCCCGGCCACACTGAGGTTACCGAGAGGGTGCTCAGGATCTTGATGGACCGGTGCCCACCGGCCAGCTTGTAGGCACTGCAGGTCCTATGCCCAGCAGCAGAGCCTGTGGGGTCGGGTAATCTGCAAGGTCAGCCTGCCTCTCACGGACGCACTGCTCTCTGGGGACCAATTGTCCAATTCAGGGGCTCTATATTCTACAACATGCCAGCCAGGAAACTGATGGAAGAAGCCAGTTACACACTTAATCAATGCCCTCTCATTCAGCTGGAGGTCCGCCCACCTCCATTCACCACTGCCCTTCCCACATGCTGGAGGGCGATGGACACCCATAACGCCTGAGCAGAAGGCTGCTTCTTCAGACAAGGTTGCATTATGTGCTATCCAGTCAAAATTCCCACACATTGGAACTTAAGTAAAATAATGGAAGGTACATCCCCACAATAGAATACCCTGCCCTTATTTTTAAAAGGCAGTTATTTATATATTAACAAAGCATTACCTTCAAGACATTTATACTATCAAATGAAAAAAGAAAGGTGCAATATAATATATACTACATATTACCATTTGTGTAAAAATAAAGAAATAAACTCTTGGTGCCTACTAAATTATAGGTACACAGGCTGCATGGGTGAGAACAGATGAGAAACCAAAAGCAGTGGCTGCCTCAGAAGAAGGGAATTATAGGTGGATGGAGGATATGATTTTTGTCCATTTTAAATTTTATTCATATGCAAGAATTCTCAGTCACACAAAGAATAAAATCTGTTTTAAAGGTAGGAGGAATTTATTTTAAAAATAACAAGTTACTCTTTCTCACATACTATAGATTGTAAAATTACTGTTAAAAAGAAGAGCAAGGCCTTCCCTGGTGGCACAATGGGTTAGGACACAGCGCTGTAAGCTGGCCACAGCAGCTTCAGTGTGAGTTTGATCCCCACCCCAGAGGTAACGACATGGCATGGCAGACCTCTCCTGACTCGCCCGCTGCTCCCCTCAGCAGTGTACTTCGTCGATCTGCCTGTTCTGTTCCCCACTCTGTCTCTGGTGAAGCCTCTCACCACCCTTATGGCTCTGGCCAGTACCCCAGTTCTGTATGCACAAATAAGTAAATCTTTAAAAAGAAAAGAAGAGCAAAAGAGAAAATAGTAGGTTGAGAGTCAAGGAGCTAGAACCAAACTCACCCCCGGCACTAGCTGAATGATGGCTTCCTTCAAGAAGTAAGCGACAAAAACACATCATCCAAACAGGTATAACTAGCACTAACTAATTAACTTGGCATAAGGTCACTAACTTGGCATAAACCAAACTAGTTCACTTTCCATCAAGCCCGTCTCTTCCTAGTTGGAGGTAGCAGGGAGGGGAGGGCGAGGGGAGTTGACTAGTCTATATGTAAAGATACTGAACCAAGCACACAGGAAAAGTTGTGTGGATGAGATAACTGATTTTACCCAAGCCAGTCAATATCAGGACTGTGAATCTATTCAACATTTCAACCCTAACGGGCCCTCTTCAATGGGCTACAGGAACATAAAGCAGAGAACATATGGAACATATAGACCACGTTATGCCAGTAGGAAGCCCTGGGCCTCTTGACAGGGATGGGCAATATCTCAGACACACCACAACTTCAGCAAAGACCCAACTTCTCTCTGACCCCTCCTGTACCCCCACACACTGGGTCAGGCTCCAGGGCTGGCCATGACCCCAAAGGTCCATGACCCCTTGTCCTAGCCTCTGACAAGGACACAGGGGAGAACAGAAGTGGGAAACACCTTACCCCTGCACAGTAATCTCCACTGATGGTGACCCGCTGAAACTCAGGCATGGCGTAGGGAGGTGCAGGTGCCGGCTGGGAAGTGGCTCCAGTGATCACAGGGGTTGCGGGTGACATGACCGGACTGGCTGTCGGGGGTACCTTCCAGTCTTGCTGCGTTGGCATTTGCAGAGACAGGGACTGGGACCGAATCATCTTGAAACTTTTCTTTCTAAAAGCCAAGGACAAGGAAAGTGGGAGATGTCAGCAGCTAATCTGAGCGAGTGTTAGGTTGCACACAAGGCAGAAGAATCTTGCCCTGCCGTGAAAAAGTCTGATTATTTGTGCCATCCTCTCACACACATCTCTATGAAGAGGTACTGAACAGTCTTCCAGACCTTCCTCCCTGCGGTCACTTAAAACTGCTGTGGGCACTTAGAATAGGCAAAGGCCTCAGGAGACAGTGGGCAGACCATGCACAGGGGTCTCGCAGCAGAGGGCAGCGTGGTGAGGATAACATCAAACCAACCATGTGGACCAAATGCTAACTTCAGATAACCCAGTCCCCCAGCTCAGAGACATACTCAGGAAGGACTATAATCAGACACATTGAAGACCATCACAGTGTACTTCACAAAGTTAGGAATCTGAAGTTTGGGAGCTAAAAGAAATCATGACAATCAACAAATCCCACCTCTTTGTTTTATTAAGGAGTTGGGATACAGAAGTGAACAACAAAGTCACAAGCAAGGCTGTAGCTAGCCCCCAGCCTCCTAGCTCCCTGGTACCTGCTCTGCTTGCCAATTCGCACCCGTCCCCCCAAACCCCGCTGTCCTGGAGTCTGACTTGTGCCCCATGGTTATTGCTGCTGCTGGGCATGCACTGATCTGTATCTTTTTGAGAAAAGCATTGATCATTATCAACTCCAAGTCCCTCTGGACTGTCAGATTGACACCAAAAGATGATTTCACCAACCCTCAGGGAAGTGGGGTACATGTAAAATATCAGAAGTTCATGCTTATTTGCTATGCTGATTGATGAACACTTGCCTTCCACATTAACTAAACAGCAACATTTCAAATGACAGCACCCATGGAACCTTCCCAGGAAGGGAGTCAGCTAACAGTGAGGTAGGGCCATCAGCATTCCTCTCTCCCAAGTCCCTTTCTGCTTCCACTGGAGCCCAGGGCCCCAGCATTGCCACTTAGTGATGTTCAATGTGAGAAATTAGCTGACTTCTTGCACTACCTTTTTTTTAGTTCTTTTTTTTTTTTTTAAGATTTTGTTTATTTATTTTTGCATAGAAGAGCTGGGGTATAGGTCAAGGGGTGAGGTGCAAGGTGTTAGAGGATTCACTAGAGACAGAGTGGGGAGCAGAGCACGCAGATTTTTACTGAAATACACTGCTAAGAAGAATAGCGGTGAGACAGGAGAAGTGTGCGGCTCCATCTGTGGGTTAGCTCCCTGGCTGGGCATCGAACTCAGGTTGCAGCAGTGATAGTGCTGAGGCTTAATCTCTAGGCCACCAGGAAGGCCCCGACTTGCACTACATTGTGCCAGAGGGTTCAGCAGCCTCCCAGTACCTGTTCCACAATCAGGGCCTATAGCCACCTGCAAAGGACTCCATGTCCCATAAGTGACAACTATCAGTCCCCATCTCCCATAGAGCTCTTCTCTTCTCCAGGCACCAGTGACACCTACATGGTCTGTAGAAATCACTGTTCCCCAAGCTGCCATAGGACTTGGCTGAAGCAGCTACCTTCCTCCTCACTTTTGGCCAGGTCTCACTGACCCACTGTAATATTTTTCAGGAACCACTGTTTTCTTCCCTTATCTATATACCTCCCACTTGCCATGGCTCTCTCTGTCCATGAGTGGTCTTTATCTGCCCACCAATGTATTCATCAGTTTGGACAATTGGCCATTTACAACTTGAAAATGGAAACGGCCCATTTTCAGTAGTCTGTCTTTGCCCTGTCCCTGGCCTTGCATAATAGATGCACTGGGCTGTTCAGGAAACAGCCTGAACCCCAAGGCCTCTGGCAAGGCTTTCCCCAGCCTGCCACTCATCCATCAAAGGAGCTGAGTCAGGTATCCTACCCAGGAAGATGCCAACTCATGCTAGTCAGTCATGGCTCAGAGGCAGATTCACTTCGAGCAATGAGGTTCTCACTTTGGCATCTTCTAAATGTTCACAACTAGAGGAAGTGCCACTGGCTTTGGGCTCCTCCTCACATTCTGACAAGTTCAGCCAGGTCTCATGAAATTCTGGCTCTGTGTCACTCACCTGCCTACCACACCACTTTTCTATCTCTGAATTTTTATGTCCATCAGTGTTGCCCGAGGGCTGGTCCTGGCAGGGAGAAGTAAGTGATGTTGAAGGTGAGCACCAAACATAGAAAAAATGTTTAAGAAAACAAAACAAAACAAAACTATGATCAGAAAGCTGAAAGTCCAGCTAGCCAAGAGTGCACCAGCTTATTCAAGGAATGTCCTTCTCCTTCCTCCTCTGTGAGGATGCCAGTAGCTACCAGGAGTACCCAAAGAATTCTCCTTGAAGACATCCATTACAACTCCAGAGTTGGTCTTCAGGTGACTCACAGATAACCACATGTGAATATTGGTGAGCTAGGAGCTCAGATTTTGCAGGTATAAGAGACAGTGGGCAACTCCTCCAGGCACAGTCACCTTGGACAAGAGCTGGGTGTAACCCAGCTTGTAGCTCAAATCAATGAAAATTGGAAAAACTAAATGGGTCATAAGGAGAGCGCCTATGTTTATTTTCTTTTGCTGCAGAACAAATTTAAGGTTGGCTTACAACAGCCATTTTGGCTCACAGATTTGTAGGTGAAAAGTCTGGGTGAACTTGGCTGGCTGGGCTCTACGCTCAGGGTGTCAAGGCCAAAATCAAGATGTCAAGTTATAATGCTATGCACTTAAAACCTGTATGATGTTATAAACTGATATTACTTCAATATATTTGTTTAAAAAATTGGTCACATTGGACTCTTGTTGGAAGATTCTAATAAACACTTTACTTCCAGGCTCCTTCAGGGTACTGACAGAACCCCCTTCCATTCCTCCAGAGGGGGCTCCAGTTCCCACTGATTCTCTGACCTGGCACATAGCTCCCTCCTCATCAGCTCCCTCCTCATCAAAGGCAGGCACGGTGCATTGTTCTGGTGCTTTGAATGTCTCTGACATCCCCCTCAACTACCAACCTGAGAAAATGTCCCACTCTAAATGTTCGAGTGATTAGCTCAGACCCACCACGGCAATGTTTCAAAGAATGCGGTGATTAGTATAGGATATCTTTGAGAGCCATTTAAGAAATTCTGCCCACAATAGGGCCAATCTAATACTCATTTTATACAATATACAGTGGAGCCTCGGGCAACAAAGGTGGGGAGTGACACTGACTGTGTGTGTGTTTTTATACAGGTGTCCTTCTTTCCTTTCCAAGGCTGACTGGATAATAAAATGTGACAATAAAAAATGAAGTAAATTGTCACATGTCACAATAAGTCACCATAAGTTTTATCAGAATTATAGAACTTGGGGTCTCCTGGTTGAAGAGCCTTTATAAAGACTCCTACCCCCAATCTTCTCACTAGGAAAGTCTTTGTATACCTTAGCAACAGTGAGCTCACGACCTTTCTGAATAAGACACCAGATTTCATCATTTATCCAAGGGACATTTTCCAATCACCTACTCAGGCCCAGGCCAGTGCTAGACACACAAACACCAAGTGCACAAACATGATCTGTGGCCACTATTAGAAAGCACTTTCGCATGATGGGCCAAATCTGTCTGTCCACAGTCCCACCTGTTAGACCTCGTTCTAGCCTTTAGGGCACCAGAGGAAGCCAGCTCCCTCTGCCTTGGCTGGAGCACTTCCGCCTTCCCCCACCCACATATCCAGCTGGCAGAAACCCACTCCTGCCAAGGAGCTGGCAGAGTACTGGGCTGTGAGGAGACCAACTGCAGGCGAATTCTGAGGGCCCACAGGACCAGGGAGCAGCTTCTCATCTCTGAAAACAATGGTCCCCCGAACAACAGTATCCTTCTTGCCCAACCTGCTCTGAATACAAAGAGGTGAACTGCTCCCTTTGTTAAGATATCACAACATCTCTCAGAACCTGTCTGGTGCCTCCACCCACTTGATGACCCATGGCTGCCCCTGCCATTCACTGTGTCCTCTTCACCTTTACCCTGACTCACCCCCAATCCTCCTCAGCTCCTGTGCACCCCAGAGCCTTCTGATGATAATATTTCTTTTATTTGCTAAATCCAACTAAAGAACCAGGGGGCCCTCCATGCTCTGCAAGAGCAGAGCCAGCATCCCCCCAAGGGCCTTCAAAAGCCCACTGTCCGGTCCTCCCTGGTGGCGCAGCGGGTTAAAGCACTGCACTGAGAAGCTAAAGCCACTTCCGCATGAGTTCGATTCCCGCCTGCCCCGGAGGAGACCACATGGCGTGGCAGACCTCTCCTGACCCGCCCGCTGCTCCCCTCAGCAGTGTACTTCCTCCATCTGCCTGTTCTGCTCCCCACTCTGTCTCTGGTGAAGTCTCTCACTGCCCCTGAGTCTCTGGCCTGTACCCCAGTTCTGTATGTACAAATAAATAAATCTTTAAAAAAAAAAAAAAGCCTACTGTCCTTTGCTGCCTGTCTGGGTGACTCTGGTAGCAGGGGACACATCTTTACCGTTCACTAAAGGCTCTCAACAGTGCACAATGAGTCATACTCAAAACATTCTTGAGGGTACACGTGTGGCCCCACTTCATTCAATAGACCACTATACCCCTAGGCTCTGGGGGTGATACATATCCATTCACCAATGGGGCTGACTCTGATGACACAGATGGCTGACTAGTTCAGCAGATTACTATCATGCAATGTGGTAAGGATAATGAGGTGCCCTGGACATTGTAGGGTCCCTGAAGAAACACTTAATCAGACTGGGGTGGGAGCAATGGTGCTGCAGGATCAGAGGTTCCTGCATCATTCTGAGGGAGAAGGGAACATTCCAGAATGGGGAGTCTCGTTGGAATCCCCCTCCACACACACACACACGCACACACACACACGTTTACCTCATCCTGGAAGCCCCTTCTCCAGAAGAGAACTGCTACCATAAAAGCAGGAATCACAAATCAGCATGGAGCTTTATGAACAATTAGAATTTGGATAGCAGGTGGGACTGACATTGCTGACTGACATTACTGACTTTC